ACGAAATCTGTCTTCAAACTGTCGCCTCCGCCGCTGGTTTTGAACTGGAAGCTCTGATGCCACTTAATACGTCCCTGGGTGTGTATCATGTATTTTATTAAAGTAACGTAGCAAACAATCAATCCGAAGATTGATTGAACTCGAATCAAGAACAACACGTTCTTAATACGAAATTGGGATAATACGGAACCAACAGACAATTCCACACCTGGGGAAAGCTCGTATGGTATAGAAGGGTAGTTGCTCGACCACGATTTAAGGGACTATTCAATCGATACAAAGCTCAGCAAGTTTGGAATCCACCAAACCCAAAACAAGTCGCAACTTGCACAAAACCAAACGATTCTCAATTCGATTAATCAAAGTCTGAGTTTTACAATGTAAATAGAAGGCTATTTATAGCCAAGAAAAAACCTAATACAAACCTAAATGAACAAGTAAACATATAAGGTAATATTCTATTCTACAAAGGTTACAAAATTCGGCCACAAACACTCTTTCTTCAAGCACAAGTAAGCTGTCTTATAGCTCAAGCAAACTGCCAGAAAACAATTTTCGTACTAACTTCAAGCCTTTTGTTCGAGGCCTTAATCCTTCATCCAATTACTTCCCTTGATAGAAAAACATATCTATTTTCATGTTGTGGAAGCCTTTGGACTTGAGTCAGATCCATGTTCATCGAATTGAGCTCCAAAGTAGGCTTTAACAGTTTTCTGACTTAGCCAAATTCTGGCAGTTTTCAGCTTTCAAGATAGCAACTTTGGACGTATGGAAAATGATCTTCTGGACTTCCTCTTGGGCTACCAAGCATACCATCGTGTAGATAATCTTCTTACCTTCAAAACAAGCTATCAAACTCAAATTTTCATTGAGCCAATTGTGATAACCAAGTCTCCAAAGTAGGCCACCTAAAACAGTGAAAACACTTACCAAAAATTAATGTTCTTCAGGCAGCTTGAGCTTGCTTCCATTTCAAGTAATTCCAACTTGTAGAGTAGCCTATTTGTGATCATATCACTCCAGAATGGGTACATTGGGTGAAATAATGTGTTTGCACCGCCTCTTTTTCGATCTTGGTCAATGGTAAGCCTTTCGGTTTCTTCTCCTCTTTTCGGGGACTTCGCAAAGGGGACCCTTTGTCTCCTTTGCTGTTTGCTTTGTGTTCCGAAGGGTTTTCTTCCATGATTAAAGAAATGGTTGGCCGTCATGAGCTGCAGGGTATCCGTGTGTCTAGTTCTTGTCCCTCGGTTTATCATCTGCTTTTTGCAGATGATTCTTTTTTATTTCTTCGAGCTTCTCGGCGGGACGTGCAAAATCTACGAATCCTTTTACGTGAGTACGAGGATATCAGTGGCCAACGAGTGAACTTGACCAAATTGGATGCCTTATTTACTCCGAACATGGATGCTCATGAGCAGAATTCTATGGAGGCTTCTTTGGGAGTGGGATCAATTTAATTGGTTTGTTAGACAGCTATTTGGAACTTCCCTCTTTGATTCATCGGTCGAAGAAGGAGAAATTTAGATTCATTGAAGAAAAGTTGATGTTGGTTTTACAAGGTTGGAAGGTTTGTACATTATCTATAGCGGCTCGAGAAGTACTACTGAAGGCTGTGGCAACAACACTTCCAATTTATGCTATGTCCTGTTTTATGCTCCCAATTGATTTGATTCATCGGTTGAATGCCCATATGGCTCATTTTTGGTGAGGAGCAACTGCATGTCAAAAAAGGATCCATTGGATTGCTTGGAAGACTCTCTATGACAGCAAGCATGAATGAGGTTTAGGCTTTCGTGAGTTTGGTTATTTCAACCAAGTTTTGCTAGCCAAAGTTGCCTGGAGGATTCTTATGGAACCCTCCACGCTTTTAGCGCGGATTTCAAAGGGTAAGTATTTCTCGTAGAACAATTTTTTGCAAGCACAGCCTGGTGCCAATCCCTCTTGGGGTTGGAAAAGCATTCTTCATGGCCGCGCTTTGCTTTTGTCCGATTTGCTCTGCCAAGTCGGCAGCGGTCTTTCCATCCAAGTGTTTCATGATGATTGGCTTCCTACTAGTCCGCCATCAGCACCCATTCCGCACGCTGGTGCTGCACCTTCATCTCCTTTTGTATCGACTTTGATTGACCATGATCTCACTCTTGGAACATGGCGGCTCTGCAACTATTCTTTGATCCATCAAACATTAAAATAATTACTTCTATTCCGCTGCCTCGTCTTTCTGTTCCTGATTCCTTGATCTGGCATTACGATCCTTCGGGTGTGTTCCAGGTAAAGTCTGTTTATCACCTTGCTTTTAATATTTCCCAACGGAAGGGAGGTCATTCTCGCGTTAATCAGGTAGACATTGGGATGTGGCGCTGGTTATGGAGTTTGAAATTACCCCCAAAACTTATATTTTTCGTGTGGCAAGAAGGTTGAATCTTTAGAACATTGGTTCTTCAATTGCTCTTTTGCTCATCGGCTGTGGGGGCTGGTTGTATTTCGCCAACAGTTGAATTCTTGGGATAAAGGTCTTTTTCGGGTATGGTCCGTTCTGTGTTGTATGTGAATTGCAGGGAAGAGAGCTCCCCCTATTTTGTTTTGCAGGTTGTCTATGTGTTCTGGCGTATTTGGAAGACTAGATGTTCTGCTCTTTTTTACCATCTTCAGGTGAGAGTTGAGACCAATGCGACAGAGTGGTATCACCAAGTTCGGGAGTTTGACACAGTTGTATTGTCTTCACCGGTTGCAAGGCAACAAAAAATTCATCTGCTTTTACCTCCAAGAATTGTGGATTCTATTTCAATTGATCAATTTCAAGCTTCTTTTGATGGGGCAACACAGACAGACAAATGCGGATCAACGGCGTATGTGATTGCAGATGGACGACTCTTTCCTCTACTGGCGGCGACTTTAGTTTATCAGGTGACCAATGATCCTCTTGTTTTGGAATCTAGGCATTAAGAGATTGCTTACAGGCTTGTCGGGCTCGTGCTTTGACTAATGTGTGCATAGTGGGTGACGCTAAAGTGCTCATTGACAAATGCTTAGCTCGGGATTTCAATGATGCTAAGGTTGGTTCGATTCTTTGGGAAATTGGCAGTTTGATTGATGGGCCTCAAGGGGGTTTTGTGGTTAATTTTGTTGGTCGTCAATGTAACAAAGTGGCTCATTTAGTGGCCAAGAAGTTCCCGAGTTTGTCGCCTCGGTATCTAACGAGGTTCGACTATGTTTCGTGGCTTTTTTCCTTGTAAATTTTCTTTGTTGGAATTTTATCTTTTCTCTCTTTTTGAGAGTGATTGTAACACCTCGGTCCTTGACATATATATAATTCCTAAACTACCCTTGATTATTAGTATAAATTATCCTCTTTAACCTTAATCTAAAGGCGGGTCAGATCAGGTCCTTAAGGCCTAGTCCTTAAGGAAGATCTTAAATCATTTCCAGTCAATAGGAGAAGGGGAGAGAAAAACATTAGTAATAATTAGTTAACTACCTAAAAGGGTAAGGCTGGAATCTAATAAAAATTTAATGTGATTAATATTTAAAAAGGAAAACGGTAGAAATCACGCCTCTGATGCCTCACTATTGAAATTCATATAGGGAAAAACGACCTCCTCCGAACCCTAAAATTGTTTCCCTCGAAGCCACGACTACAAACCCATCGCCGGCTAGCCGTCGCGTTCCGGGTGCGATCCCGGCGACAGAGCCACAACATCACGGCTGCATCACGTCATCGTCAAGTCTGCGTAACGTTGTCAAGTCACAGGTGCATCGGTTTTGGTTTTCTTGTTTGCAATCTCGTCATCGTCACGTCGTTGTTTCGTTTGCAAACCCGCCGTCATGACTTCCTGGTCGCTGGCGTTTCTCCCGTCGCGGCCATCTTCTCGTCAGATTCCCGTCGACGTCGCCACTAGCTTCCCGTGCTCGGCGTGATGGGTGATGATGATGATAACGTTGCTTGTAATGTTAATAACGTAAGGGTAAAGATAGATAACGAATGTTAATTATGTAAGTTAGAATGACAACAAAATGTTAATAACTTCGGTTAAAATGATAATAATGTATCTTAAAATGTTAATAACGTAGAATAAAATGGAAAGAATTTGTAATGTTAATAATGTAGTTTAATACATGTTGAAAGTGTAACAATAATTTGTTAAATTGTTAATAATGTGGGTTCATATGATAATAACGTAGGTTAAAATTTTAATAACGTAAGGGAAAATATAGGTAACGAATGTTAAAAATGTTAGTAATGTGAGTTAGAGTGAGAACCAAATGTTAATAACGTTAACTAAAATGATAATAACGTAGCTTAAAATATTAATAACGTAGGTTAAAATGAAAAAGCTCTTTTTCATTACGTGGATTAAAATGTTAATAACATGGGCCAGAATGATAATAACTCAGTTTAAATTGTTAATAACGTAAGTTATAATGAAACCATCTTTATATAACGACAGTTAAAATGTTAATAATATAGCTTTATATTATTGAAAGTATAACAAATAATTTGTTAAAATGTTAATAACATAAGTTAAAATGTTAATAACGGCGGCAACGACGGTGGAGAACTGGACCGAGGGTGGTTGAAACTCAGCGTTGGTGGACTGGGCCGACGACGGTGGAGAACGCTGGTGGGAGCTACTTGACCGGCCGGAGTTCACAGCGGACTAGGGTGTTACAATGATTGAACGACAAAAAAAAAAAAAAGAGAGTCAGGAGCGAATATTTTCTATAAAAATAAATGAAAAAAGAACTGGACGGCTAAACATCGCCCTTATTTTACTTTTATAGTCCTAACTTAAAATGTAATATTACTAAACTATCCATTATTAATCAATTAAATTCAATTAAAATTTAGCAAAAATAAACCACCACTAACATTCCTAATTCTCGCCCTACATTAAATCGCGGTTCCAATGTCGGATCCGGGTCACGAAGCCCTACATTAAATCAGCCAACGCGGGTACCCAATTCCCCACAGCCGGAGCAGAAGTAGAAAGTAAAAGGCGAGACTGGTGCAGAAACGAGACCTAAACAAGTTCACCGGCTCTGCCGGCGGCACATCGGCACCGCCGGCCAAGAGAGGCCGCCCTTTCGGAAGCACGAACAGTAACTCTTCCGCCGGAAGCAGCGGCAGCTCCGTTGAATATGCTTGGCCCTTCTCTCCAGGTTCACAACACATTCGCCGGTCAGTTCATCGGAGTCGAGGCCCGATTCTTCATTTTTGGTTACTACCCTGTCGCGGCCTTCATAAAATTAAATTTGTGGGGTTTTCAGATCAAAATCCTAAGAGGATAGTACTGGCGGTTCTGAGTGGGCTGAAGAGCGAGCTAAGACTAACTCCAAACCGCTTGCTTGCAAATTTGGAGAAAGTGAACAATTTGCCTTTTTTTCATCTCCAACCCATCAATAATTTAGCTTCCAAATTTGGAGAAGGGAGTGTTGGGGTGGATAGGTAGCAGCCTCCATGGAGAAAAATGGCAAAAATAGCAGCTGGAATGGGGACCTCGCCTGCATGGAGGGTCCCCCTGCTGCTGTATTTTTTTTTTTCAATTTGTTTGAGTGGTTATTTGTGTGGGTGTGTTTGCGTTTTAGTTTGAAAGAAGTAATATAGTGACAATAAAACGGTCACATTGCAACGGTCACATTTTAACGGCCATAAAACGGTCATTTTTTTTCTCTCTATATAATGAGTAACTTCTCATGGTTTTTCTGCACTCATTCTCAAATCAATCTCTCTCATTCTCATCTATTTATCATCTCTCAAAACAAAAACATGTCAAGTAAGAGAGGACCCAATTGGAAAGCTCATGAAGATGTAAACTTGTGCAAATCTTGGATATCAATATCTGAAGATGGAGCGATTGGCATCAATCAAAAGAGCACGAGATTATGGGAAAGGGTGGAGAGGGAATTTCGAAGAAGCGATCCTACAACAATTCGTACTACGGATTCAATGGAATCCCGACTGAGACTTATCAGTAACAAGTGTAAAGTTTGGAAGGGAGCTTTGCAGAGGGCGGAGAGGAGTCAAACGAGCGGTATCAACCAAGTTGATGTGGTATTGTTTTGGAAACTTTAACTTTTGTATTTCTTATTTTTATGTATACTTATCTAACTTGTGTATTAATAATTTTGATAGGAATTTGTAGCAAGGAGAATATATAAGGAAGAGAATGGGGACAAAGCCTTTGAACATGAGCATTGTTGGGTCATCCTTCGAAATTGCCCAAAGTGGTATTGTGACCCTCAATTGGTGGTCGGTCCAATTCCACCTATGGGTCAAGGTTCTGAAAGTTCTCCCATAGGTATTGGTTCTCAATCCTCCCCTGTGGAAGGCCTCGATGACATACCAGACGAGGGAGCTACGCCTTTCATGCTGTCTCGCCCTGAAGGACGCGACAAACAAAAGGCAGCAAAAAAGAAAGGTAAGGTAGTTGCGGAATCGTCAGACATGTACACTACTCAACTGCTAGAGTTTGGTAATGATATGAGAGAGAGGCAAAAGTCGAGGATGGAGTATGAAAATAGAAAAATTAATCTTCAAGAGAGGATACTAGAGAGGGAAGCCGAGGAATGGGCATACAAGAGGCAAGTGAGGGAGCAGGAAGTGGAACAATGGGCTCTTGAGAAGAAAGAGAGGGATGCCGCATTACTTCAACAAAATATGAATATTCTGGAGAAGGATTTGTCAAAGATGACACCAAGAAAGAAGAAATTTTGGAGGAGTAAACAAAATGACATCTATGGGTACGATCAAGATGATCCCAACTCTAATCCAGGAGATGGCGGAGATGCAAGTGGTGGAGGAGATGGAGATGAAAGTGGAGGTGATTACTTTCCTGTTATGGATTATGATTAGAAGAAGGTCCTATGTGTACTAATTTAGGCTTTTATTGCTTTATATGGTGTGTTTTGTGTTGTATTTGAACTTTGAGCATTTTCACGTGTAATAAAAAAACTAGTCGTTATTGAATCTTTTGACTAACTACAAAACACACTTTATTGAAACATGAAATACAATCACACACTGAAACTTGAAATACAAACTACCAAACAAGCAATACAATCCATAATTAAACAATACTAGTTATTGCCCTGCAAATTCCAAAGATGCTCAACCAAGTCATTTCGAAGCGCATGATGTGTTGTTGAGGAGCGAATCCTATTATTTCTAGCCAAATAATCAACCAGAGTTGGAACGTGTCGGTTGATTGGTTGAGGTTGTTCATGGACCTCATAATCAAGGTCATCATCCATCTCATCATCAGAATCAACTTGCTCATCCTCGATTATCATGTTGTGTAATATAATGCACGTCAACATTATATTGTTCAGGGTGACAACATCCCAAGCTCTTGCAGGGCCACGAACAATTGCCCATCTTGATTGGAGGATTCCAAATGCCCGCTCTACGTCTTTGCGGTGTGCTTCTTGACGTTGAGCAAACAAAGCCTCTTTGTTTGACCTTGGATTGCTGAAGGTCTTCACTAAAGTCGACCATGAGGGATAAATACCGTCGGCCAAATAATAGCATTGATCATAAGCATGGCCATTTACCTCAAATCGTACATGTGGAGCGCTTCCATTGACAATACATTCAAACACTGGCGACATCCCCAGAACATTTATATCGTTGTTCGATCCAGGAGACCCAAAGAAAGCATGCCATATCCATGTGTTGTAGGAGGCCACCGCCTCTTGAATGATTGTTGGCCTATGCATATGGCCGGTGTATTGTCCTGCCCAGCCACTTGGACAATTCCTCCATTCCCAATGCATACAGTCAATTGATCCAATCATTCCAGGAAAGCCACGTCTTGAGGCTTTACTGAGTAAGATCCTTAAATCGGCAGGAGTAGGTGCGCGAAGATATGTGGCCCCATACATGTTGATAATGTTGTTGCAGAACTTTCTGAAGACCTCCATCAAAGTGCTCTCACCCATACGAACATACTCGTCAAGTTGATTAGCTGGAGAACCATATGCTAGCATGCGCATCGCACCAGTAAGCTTCTGCTCTGGAGATAATGATAATTGACCCAAGCTATCACGCCGTAGAGCAAATGAGGGGTCAAACCTCACAATGTCGCCCATAATGCGATGGAATAATCTTGGTTGCATCCGATAGCGCCTTCTAAATATGCGAGCATTGTATACTGGATTTGGATCGAAGTAATCCCTCATAAGACGGCGATTACATTCGACCCTTTCACGATCAATGTGACGTCGACTTGTAGTTTGACGTCGACTTGATGAACCTTCAGCCAGCCTCCGGCCGATTAAACTCAACCGTAGGTGGTGAAACCTCTCGTACTCTTCGATTTCTTCTTCTCCTCCCGACGATGAGCTATCTGACATACTCATGATGAATGTGTTTGTTTTAGAAATGGGAAGAAGTTTCAGTGAGTTGATGAAAAATGAAGAATTGTGATTTATAAACACATATGATGCACAAAACGACAAAAAAACGGTCATAAAGTAACGGCTAAAAAAACGGCCATATTTGGATTGGTCCAAAAAAACGGTCATAAAGTAACGGCTACAAAAAATGACTAATTTTGCAAAAAAAAAAAATATCTCGGAATTAAAAAAAAAAATATCTCGGAATTAAAAAAAAAATTACATCGATTTTTTTCTTTCACAAGTAATAACAAACTATAAAAAAATTAAAGTGAATTACAAGAATGATATTGTAAATAAGTATGGATTATGGAAATTAAATCAAAAAAAGATGTGGGAAGCTAAATCTGGAAGCCTATAGGGTTGGAGAAAAAGTGTTTTGGGGAGGCAAATATGCACATTTGAGAGTTTGGGAGGCTAAATATAGCTTTTTGGGTTGAAGTTAGTCTAACATGGGCGTTGAATGCTCTCACTCGGCTCTCTTTCAAGGAGAAGGAAGATACGCGCAAAGATCACTCTCTGGCTTGCTCAACGCTCTCCTCCAATTTGTAAGTTGCTCAACTACTCAACTTTGTTCAGAATAGAGTGGCGATTGATAGAGAGGAATTCGTTCTGTTGGTTCTTGAAAAGAGTGTTCGTGTAGATTGCTCTGGTCACATCAATAGGTATGCTGCTTACTTTTGTGAGAATGTTCTGCCAAACAGATAATGATTGGCGTGATATAGGTCTTCCTAAAGAAATCAGCAAGAGCACTAGAGTCCGGAATTTAGGTGCAAATTCTCTTGTCACGGGTTTCAGCCATGGGTACGAGGCATTAAGGATCGCTAACTGCTCCATCTCATCCTGTGTAAGGGACAGTTAATTTTGTTTCATGTGCGAGGAAATTGAGGTTATCGATGAGTTTTGAGGGTGTAATCTTAGAGGAAACGTGTTTTCATGGCAGGTCAGGTTCTACTGCAAATGAGGCTTTGGCTGTGAAGAATGCAGCCAATGAGGATGTTATTTTCAATTTTGGATGATGAAGGGCGGACAGAAAAACAACAGTCTGCTGTTGCTGCATCGAATATCATACGCAATTTCTCCTTCAGGCAAGAAAGCGAAACCGTTATGGCCCAACACCGGCATTGCGTGGAAGCAGTCTTCCAATGTATAGAAGGTCACAACTCGGGTAAGTCCAGTTGGTATTAGACCATAAAGTTTTCTGTGTTTTGCTATTCACGTTTGAATGTCCAATTGCTACTTGAACTTTTCAATGTTTTGATGCTTAGTGTAGAGAACCAACCCTGCTGAAATGTTCTCAATCATTAAAATCTATACTAAGAAGTTTGGGTGGCGATAATTGTAGGTTGAAACTCGAAAGGGCTTTAGCAGGATTGTTTGGAGCAATCTTGCATCCTTCCATATCTTTCCCAAAGCTTTGATTCGTGAATGTGCATCTACCATACTATGAGTTCTAGGCTCCCCAATATGTTTTAGAGTTTGCTCCTTGTTTAGCTTGCCTAAAAAGCAGCAGGAGCTACCTTCCACTGGTGGTTCCATATGTGAAATCGTTGCATCTCTGAACTTACTTGTTTTCACAGTTTACTTATTTGAGAGTGAATGTGATGCGGGCCTCTATTTGAAATCGAGACTTGCTAGGACTTTGCATGATGGAAAATGAAGTTAGCTATTACGCAACAATATGAAATACCAGAACTGGGGAGTGTGCAAATTTAGCTGCGTCATCAGAACTACCTGAAATACCACCTCCATTGAATGCCCACCTTTTGTTTGGTTGTCAGTGGTTTAGTTGCATCACTTTAGGGTCTTGAGGCAATACTGCTCTTGTTTTTATTTCTTAGTCGTTGGAAATGATTCAATGAATGAAGCCGTTTCTAATATTACTCACGAAAACTCTTTCTTTGACAGAGGATGTTAGCGAACTAACCACTTGGCCCCAATAACCCGAGTTATTGGGAAAGGGATAGTTAAGCCTTTTAACCTCTTATACGCCCCCTCAAACGAAAGCCGATGCCGAATTGTGGATTTTTACGGTTTGCACAGGTTGAACCCTTGTGCTGCCAAACCACGAGGCTTTAGTTTGCACAGGTTGGACATACCATTCCTTGTGCTAAACGAATTGGCATGAAATGGGGGTCGTTATGAGGATTCGAAACCATGACCTTTCAGTTGTAAGCTCTGATACCATGTTAGCGAACTAACCACTTGGCCCCAATAACTCGAGTTATTGGAGTTATTGGGAAAGGGATAGTTAAGCCTTTTAACCTCTTATAGAGGATGAGGAACTCGTAACAAACGCCCTTGAGACAGCTGTAAATTTGGCTCATGTGCTCAACCTCCGAAATCTCAGCTCACATAAGCACCTTTCATAAATACACCGTAAGAAGCTGTCCTACATATGATTGAGTGATGTGTTTGCTCATCTATGCCTGTGATGAAGACCAATAATTTTGATTCTTGCAGAGAAAAAAGGGCAGTCCACGCTATTGTGGGCATTCTGGGTACTTCAGTTAAAACTTGGCAATGTGCAGCTGCTGAACTAATAGGACGTTTGATCATAAATCCTGACAGCGAACCTTTCCTTCTTCCATTCTTTCCACAGGTATAAACCTCTTTGCTTGTGTTTTTTAGTTGGGAGTATGAAGTACCGACTGCTGCCTATCGAAGCCAGAATCAGTTAGGTGATCCAGACTAGTCACAGTCTAACAACAGCAGGCAAAGAGGATGCCCTTGTATTGATAGAGCTACATTGCTGCTTCTGTTTTTGTAAATGCTTTCCAAACAAGACAATTTTCATATAATAATAAGGTGTCGTTTGGTTTTGGTGATAGTTAAATATATGTATTGTTATCAATGCATGTATAATAATATACATGTATATAAGAAAATTGATGTATTGTAGTTTACATCATTTGGTTTTTATGATAATATGTAAATAAGATGGAAGTAAACACTCCAACAATTTCAAACAAACAATATCAACAATCTCACAAAAAACTTGAGATATTACTATCACTCAGGGGTGGAGATAGCATGTTGTTAGGGTGTTCCATGACACACCCTTGGATTGGAACTAGAACATAAAAAAATAGGGGTATTAGTTTATACTATAGCTAGGATTTGAACATGGAACATCCTTATTACTAGCTTTGGCATCTTCCATTAAACAACTATATATATATGGTGGCGTATTCGGTGCACTCACTTTTTTGGGTGCATTCAGTGCACTCGCTTCATAACCGTTGTTTTAAACATGTGATTTATGTCAAAATGATGTCAATCATCACTTATGATGTTATGAACAATAACGCACATGAATTTGCATAAAAATCATTAAAGATTTACTTTAATTTGAGGGATTTAGAGTTTAGAGATTTAGGGTTAGGGTTTACAATTTGGGGTTTAGGGATAGAACTCAAAATTGGAGGTCTAGGTCTTAGGATAATCCGCTAATTAGTTGTTATCATATGTTATATCATCATATTACACTAATTCTACAAATTAAAATTCAAAATCCAACACGTTAAGACTAGTTTTTGAGTTGGGTGCATTGAACGCACTCATTTTTGTGAGTGCATCGAAGTAGTCACCATATATATATATAATTAATTCACTTTACAATAAGTAAATTAAATTAAAAAAACTCATAAATTTTCCTTATTCAAGCAATAATTGGAACTTTAGTAAGATGGTTTCTATAAAGCGGCATCTGCGATTTCCATCTGTGTATTTTTTTTTTTGTGAAGTTAGCATTGCTCCTACCATCTGCCACGACAAGTGTTAAAAGAGTATTTTCGGTAATAAACTACGTGTAGAACACTTTTCAGAGTCGAATGAGTGATAATATCATATCATGAATGATTTTTTGGTAGGATACATTGAGAGTAACATTCTTGATAGTCTGGATGACGAATCTATTTTACAGACTTGTCAAAATATGATAACTCGTCATGGGTCACTATAAAAAATTGATAAGTCATTTTAATTTTTCTAAGTTGGTACTCCCCTTACCCAAAATCCTGGCTACGCCACTGCTATCACTCATTTTGAGTGATAGTTTCCATCACATCAAGCAAACAATGCACGTATCGTTTGTGCAGAAAATTAAAAAGAACAGTGTATTGTGGACAATGCATGCATTGTAACTATCCCAACCAAACAATCACCAAAACCAAACGACCCCTAAGTCTCAAATAACTCATATCCATGAGCAGGCAAGAAATAACCTAGCGAACTGAAACATCTTAATTAGTAAAATACCACATCTAGATTTAACGCATAATTTGACCTCCAAGTATTACAAACGCAAAATAACTAACCCCACCAATGTCTAATTGAAGGTTTTTTGATAGATTGTTTATGAAAAATGAAGAAAATGAGTAAGATTTAAGGTCCAAAAGATACTTATAATATTTGATTGATATAAATGATCGAAGTGTTAAAGTGATTGAGTCTCAAAACATAGTTATAGCATACATAGTCGGTCAATTCAATGCTACGGTTTTTCCTTGCAACGAAAACAACAACGAAAAACCGAAACATGTAGTCACTATATATATTATTGGTGTATATAGAATTAACAAGTATACTTTTCTCTCCTTAGCCGGATCGATTATCCGAACAGCTAATTAATTCCCCGTCTTATTTACTTATTATTAGCACGCAATCAGCAATTCCCCTCCGTCGTCCGTCCTTATTACTTGTTTCATCAACTGAGGATGGGCGCCACCTTCGGAACATGAACAGGAAACCCGTCGATCTCATCCCGCCACGGATTCTTCTTCTCCCGCTCACAGTTTGGATCCACGTTCCTCAAAGCACGCCAGACGACGCTGTTGCACTTGAAGCCCGACCCGAACCCGATCTGCCAGACCCGATCCCTCTTCCTGACCCGCCCTTTGGCCTCGATGTACGCCAGCTCGTACCACACGGAGCTGCTGGATGTGTTCCCGAACCTGTAGAGCGTCATTCTAGAAGGTTCCATGTGCCGATCGGTCAGTTCCAAGCTCTTCTCCATCTCGTCCAGGACACCTTTTTATTACAGCAAATGAGTGAGGTATCATGAGCACAGTATTATACAGTATTACTAATATCATAACAAGACAATGATTTTTTTAGGAAAATAATCAATGTTGTCAGTAACCGAACCGGAGAATGACCCGGTAATGCGAACGGCTCGCACTTTAATGGTCCAACCGACATTAGACCATTTAAAAATGGTTAGAGAACCGGTACCTAATAAATGTTATCAGTATAAATAGTGGACATTTCTTAATCAGAGCTCGTCTCTTTCCTTCAAAATTGTGAAACGGATATAAGGATTCAATTTGAGAGCCCGACGTTTTTGGTTTATTTCAATTTTCAATTTTTTGCAATTTTTTAATTAAATTTAATGGCTGAATGGCAAAAACCGGACGAGCGGCTTGATCGGCTCGAGCGGTTAACCGCCTCGGCCGCTCGTCAACCGCTACATAAAACCGGAGCGGCTTTTAGACTGTTTCGAGCAGATTTTGTGACCGGGTGGCGGATTACCGGTCGGACCGAGCGGCTCGACTCGGCTTTAATAACACGTATTTTCAAGAGACAATTTTTTTATACTAAAAATAGCAAAATGAATATCGTTATGTTTTTTTTTGTTTTGTCAAACAATAAATATCGTTATGTAGATATTAGATAACAATTACTGCATTTTTCTATGTAATTTTTTCATTTATGTAGATAACAATAGTTAAAAATATATTTTATTATGATTTATGAACACACCTCGTCCACCAGCGTGGATGCAGAAGTGCTCGAAAGCCAGCTTGAAATCCGGAACGTACGCCTTCACTTTCCACCGGAGCAGCTTCTTAGCCACCAAAGTCGCCAAAAACAAAGCCTGCTCGGCGACGGGGAGGACGAGAGGCCCCAACGTCGTTATATTCGTCTTCAGGGCTTCCCCGGCGATGGCCATCAGCTCCTTCGACAGAGAGATGCCGATGATGTTCCGGTCGTCCTCTTGCTGGAAGACGCACCGGTAGGATTTGTCGCTGGCGCCCCTGTGGGTGCGCACGGTGTGGCGGAGCTGGTACTTGGACCGGCGGCGGTCGGAAGGGCGGTTGGTGAGGAGGATGGCGGCGGCTCCGATGCGGAAGAGGCAGTTGGTCAGGAGCATCGGCCGGTGGTTGCCGAAGTACCAGTTGCGGGTTATGTTCTCTGTGCTCACCACCAGGGCGTACGTGTGGGGATGCACCTGTTTCATGTGACTCATTTGTATTATTAAAATAATTAGTGTTACAAGTTAAAATTTGTGCTATGATGTTGAACTAGTTTTCCTACCCGCGCTCCGCGTCGGGATGGGAGTTATTTATATGTCAATATAAAGAAACTAATTCATTTAATATCGACAAATTGAGTTTTGAAATTACTGAACAAATTCCATTTGATTCTTCGAGCAACAACTGCATTGAGCAATTCCGGAAAAAATACATTTTCTTGTTTTAATAACACAATGCGGGCATAGAGGATATATAAAATAATAATACATAAAAAATAATGTAGACTTAAGATCACATTTTCTACGAATCTTAGTAATCATAGTTTATTTCATGAAATAATCCATGCATTCTCCTATGTAAGCCAAACAATTATTCTTAAAACCCACACAATGGTAATCACACATTGTCATACATATAACAATGTACATACCTAGGCAGACTTCAAAGAATACGTGCTTATATTGGAGTTATTGACTATGATTTTCTGCCACATTAGTTACAAAAACTTTATAATTTAACAGAATACGTTTTCAACTTTCTACGCAACCAGCCAAAAAGCTTGCCTAATATGGAAATACAAAATAAAAAGTCTTTCTACTCTATATTTATCAACCACGGCATATGCTCAAACAACATCATATCACCCATGTTTGGCCAATCATATCACAAACCAAATCCTCCTTCCACGATTACACAACTACCTTCATATACAAAGAAGCAAGGAGATATCGTCTGAGCAAACAAAGGAACCATAAACTAACATGAGAAGAAATATAAGAGAAAATTTCAGGGACATAGCACCACTACAAACTCGCATGCAGAAGATTGTTAGCGCCACACATAGGGCTGGACTCTCATTTCCATGGGAGCACACCAGAATTCTACATAGTGGATCTTGACTGATTTTCCAATGCCACAACAGCTGCCAAATCCTTTCAATCACAGTAATGACTGAAATAGACTGTAATATATAAGTTAACAAAATAAACCGAAAAAGATGTCTTGCAACATAACAGAAAAGTATTACATGTGAGAAACTTAGCATGGGCTGAATACAAAACCTAATCATCTGAAGAAATAAAACTTGTCTATAAATATAGTGATCTATAGTAATTCCTTGAAGGCCTGCCAGTGGTTTGATAATTCTGCAGCAAACAACAGTGAATAAGGGCACAGGAAAAGAGCTGGTTTTTGTTCATCAGAGGAGTAGGCATGATAAAGAAAAAAACTAAACATAACACAGACACAGAACAATACACCCACGTGGTTTTAGAGACCAATATTGCGCCTCAGCTTTGGTCACTATGGGACAACGACAACGGGTAACGGTCCAACGGTGCATAATATGGAAGTGATGAATAGTGGTGGTCGACGTCGTTGGTTTCGGCAGTTCCAAATGTTTCTTTCGGTCAAGATGGTGAGTTCCTCGCCTGTCAACAATTAAGTCCTCGTCAAGGTGGAAAAACACCTTTCAAAAACAAAAACCCATAAAACAATACAGAATTTAGGATCTGTGAACCCTCCAAACAATAGGCAACAAAAACATCTCAATAAGGACACAGAAGAAATAATACCGGAAGCCAACACAGAACCCACGAATCCTCTTGACATTCTCCTGGTCGCCTTAAGATTGTTGGTAGACGCATCAACATGTGAATCTCAGTTTTATTTCAAATTCCCCTTCTCTGGCATAATGATAAGAGATAACAAAGGCACAGTGGACCAGAGATTGGGAGAGAGGCATTTTGCAGTTTGAGATCTTCGCCTGTGCTACTGATCTGGATCTCCACCGGAGAAGGATTCTCGGACAATCGTAGCCGCCGGCGGATCGCAAGTAGAGGCTGGATGCCAATAATTTCAGAGAAAACAGAGAGAGAAGAGGAAGAGGTGTACTGACAATCATATCTCATATCTCATTAGCAGTGGGAAGCATTAAAAAAACAACTTATAAAGAAGAGGTGTTAGGTGAAATGAGTGGACCATAAAAGAACAACGTGGTATTCTATCCACCAAACAAAGAAGGAAAATATCCCTGTCCCTGACTCTTTTCTCGAGTCACCCCCAATCTCCTCAAGCCTCTCTGTAAATCACCATCAACATACCAACTGTTCCTCTCTCTCTCTTATTGCTTCGGTTCCAGCCTCCTCAAGCCTCTGCCTCTCTGATAAGTGATACATGAAAAGTGATGTCCCTTCCCTTCCGTCTCCCTATAAGGAAAGCACGTTTTCCCAAGAACCCCCTTCATTGTCCCATGACTCTTTCTAGATACTTGGTGATCAACGCGGAGCCTCCATGGCCACACAAACCAACCAAAATTACCAGCTGCACAGCCAATCAGAGGTCCCATTAATTGTCATACAAATAGACAGTAAAAGTAAGTCCATAAACGCCTCACTTCACCTGACAGTAAAAGTAAGTCCCCTCACTTACGTTTTCCATATTAAAAAAATTAAAAAAAGAACACCCAGTCTATCCAAAGGGTCTCGGCGACCAACGCGCATACACTGAGCCAAACTAAACGACTTTCACCCACGTGGCTCGGTCAGAAACCATCTGCCTCACAGAGAGAATTGCACAGTGCGGTGTCAGTTGAATAGTAAAATCAAGTCTAAATGAACAGCAAAATGTATCTACATGAATAGTAAAACGTATCTGAATGTACAGTACCAGTTGTATTGAGCTATTATATTTTTAATGTACAGGTTTAGTTTGCAAAATAATACGATTTTGTAGGAAATGGTGTATGTACAAATAGAATTCATACAAGCAATTACGTACGATAATCGAAACGATAACTAAAAACAACGGAACAAGATGATTTATGTTGTTTTATTGTTCGATCAGATTGAACCAGACTTGTCGACGAGAAGGCGTTATAATCTCTCTTATTTCACTTATCTCACGAAGGAGAATCAGGGTCTACATATAAATAATTTCGCCATCTCAAATTAACCTTAGCAGAGTCTACAAGAGCTTGAGGCCCTTGTGCACGCCGAGGCCCTTTTATCAACCCATAACTCAACACCCTCTCTTAAACTGATGGGGAGTTCTCATCGTCAATTTTCCAGGTAAAATTGAATGTCGACTTTTGCGGTACAAGTTTAGTTTGTACCATTTTGTACGAAAATGTATATGTACAAATTGATCAATTTGTATCATAACGTTAAAGTACATGTTCAATTTATACTATACAAAATTTTTTAAATACATTTATTTATACCACAATATTAAAAGAGTTCCGGTTTGTTTTTTTAAAAAAAAGCATTGGTACTTGTGAGTTAGGACGTGTTTGTACCACAATATTAAAAAAGTTCGGTCCGTTTTTAATTGTTACTTATGAGTTAGGACCATAATAGCGAACAATAATTAAGTACGTAAAAAACGACGACGTATTGGGTGCCAAGAAAGTCAAACCTGGAGGAGATCCTTGGCCAGGTCAACGGAAATCAACCCGGCGCTACACCCCATCCCGCCGAGATTATAGCTCAACACATTCCCCCTCATCTTGTAGCGGTTCACGATCGCGGCCGAAAGAGACGGCGTCGGATTGAACATGCTGCTGTTCACCACCAGCACCCCGATCTCCCTCACCTCCACCCCTACCTTCTCCAGCAAGTTATCGATCGCCCCAAAGATGGCCGCCTCCGTCTCCTCCCTCGCCGCCGCGATCGACTGGTCGGGCGGCGACTTCGTCAGCAACCCCGTGGGCGCGTACGTCATCTGCCCGTACCCGGACTTCTCCATGATCCTGCGCTGGAAGTCCAGGCTGTCTTCCGTGAACTCGCCCGGAGCGGATGACACCTCCATGAAGAGCTCCCTGGAGCAGAAGTGGGCCGGGCTGGGCTTGTAGCACGCGAAGTCCAGTAAGTAGACGCTTCGACGGGAGCGCGCCACGTGGACGGCTAAGATGAGGGATAAGGAGATGGAAGCGACGGCGAGGATTAGTGTCGGGTTTTGGTTGCAGATTTCGAGGAGGGAAGGGATAGAAGGGAGGTTGGTGAGAGTGACGGCGATTAGTGGGATGAGGAGGAGGTAGACGGAGTTGGTGGCTAAGTAGTGGTAGCCGAGTTTTACGTACTTTAGCTTGACGGACGGAGTTAACGGGACGGAGGAGCGGTGGACGGTTTTTGGAGGTGCGGAGGACATGTTTTTCATGTGTTGTTTTGGGGTTGGATGACGAGGACTTGTGTTGGGAGAAAGGTAAAGGAAAGAGAGCGGCTGTTTATATAGGGGACGGCGGTGGGGAGCAGGGCGGGGTTTGAGAGGTGACGAGATTTGGTGTCATAATTGTAGCAGTATTTAGTGGTATGATGGTAATGTTTGGTAGTTAATAATATCGGTGATGTGGAAGTATATCAGTTATGAATGTATTACAGCGTAACATGATGGCATATATGATAATATGAAGGTACTAATAGTCATTTCTCATCTCTTACCATTAGTTATTTATCAAGGTTGTCAAACCGGATTAAGTCATCAAGTCGCGGTTTGACAAGTGGTTTGAGGTTAGATGGTCGTGCATGATTCAATCCTGTTTTTTTTTAATTGCATGATTCAATTTGTTGAAGTCGGTTTTAACATAAGATAGGAAAAGCCTTATTATAAGAACCGAACCGGATCAACGGCCGGGCTAAACCAGTTACGATAGCGGTTCGGTTCATTGTTTGGACGGTTATGATGGACCAAATGGTTTTTCACGGTTCAACATAAAATCACATGAACCACCACGGTTTAACTGGGCCACTGTTTTAACCAAAAAAAATTTTAAATACTTTAACTCAAACTAAGACCATTAAACCATAATTATTAGTTTATATATGCTTACTCTTCTCATTTTCCAACCTTGTTATCGACTACTTGACTGGCACCGTAATTTTTAATTTGAATTAAAAAATTGAATTCTTTTGTGAGACGGTTTGAATGATTTATTAGATATTTTGGTGCTGATATGAATTTGAAATTGTTTATGATCAATAATAACTTCATTCTTAAATTAGTGTAATATACAAGTTTTATATGTTATATATCATGAACGGTTCTATCAACGGTCCACCAACAATTTTGTAACGGCTAACCACTGAACCCTAAACAGAAAAAGCCTCTAATACTAAATAAATTATATATATATATTTGACATAATTTTAAAACAATCTCAATGATCTACATTCATATATTACCAAATTATTCTTAAAAAAAAACATTAAAAAATTATCAATTCTCCTCTTCAAACCCAGTTTGAATGATTAGACCATTCAGTTTAACTATTTAGCCCGATTTTGACATTTTTCCAAAACTAGATAGCCAAAGTGCATTCTAACAGTACAGATGACTGGTTTCGATCAGACCCGGTTAAAACAAGTTAATTGTTTAATCTCACATATTATATCTTAACCCACTAAAAACCAAAGACTCGGCACAAATCAACTTAGCTGCACATCCTACCCTAGACCTACAGAGGTGGTGATAGGCCTAGTTATGAATAATAGCTTCATTTTAGGTCATTATATTATCATTGTTTAATAGGAATTGTAGGAGTAGGCAAAGAAAAATGATCTTTTTTTTTTTAAATTGGCACGATTCTACGTTGAAACTAGGCAAATACTCCTTGAATAAGGGTGTTCAAATGGTTACCATGGTAATAATCAAACCAAATAAGTCTAAAATCTATTAACCATGAAATACAATATCATAACCAAACCGTCCAAACTAATATAACAACCAAATTAACCAAACTAAAGTTTATTCGGTTTGATTAATTGGTTAACCAAAATAGCCAATATAACACCACATTATCATTAAGTGAGAAAAAATTTGAGTTAGTGCATCAATTTGCAATTTATATAATGAACAACACATAACAATCCAGGGTTAATTGCACAGGGTGCCACTTAAGTTCACCATTTGTTGCACGATAACCACTTAAGTATGTTTTGTTGCAACTAAACCACTTATATCCAATTCCGGTAGCACTGTTACCATTTCCGTCTCCATGACTAACGGCGGGTGTTAAAACGTAAATTACCACGCCAACTCAGCCGCCATGTCAGCTGCAGACTCACCTGTGGGCCACCAAAATTCGATGGGCCCACTCAATCGAAAGTTTTCTTTTACGCGGGACACTTCTCCTTGCCTTGGCAAAACCATTCTCCGCCGGCAGCCGAACCGTCAACTCCTTCCCTGCAGAAAACAAAAACTTTAGTCAAGGAGCTTATACTAGCGATCGTCGCGAAGAAGGAAGGAAAGCTTGCTGCAATTTCATTCCCCCAAACAACCGGTGGGTGGATGGGATGATTTCAGCTAGATTGCTTCAGTTGTCGCCTTGATGATTTCAGCTCATGAGCCAATATCTCGCTGAGTTGCCTTGCTGTCTCCATGATCTTCTTCACAAATGACTCTGCAGCTGCAGGGTGCTCACCCATGAGTTCGTCTTTCAGACCACAGGAATCTATCTGTGTCCTGCACAAGCCCTTCGGCACTTGACTATTGTCTTCAACACCAGCAATCTCTTGGTATGTGCTGGTTTTGATGAAATTAGCATGCTTCATAATCATACCTATATCTATCCCCAATAATGCTACATGATAAGCTACGATAAGCTAAGATAACAAGCGCCAACTTCATCATTCAAATTGTCATGGCAACATGATAAGCTACGATAACAAGCAAAATAAAACAAGCATCTAAAACAAGCTATCTGCACTTTGAGACGCAAAGAGAGAAAGGAAATCCAACAATTCTCAAACATTAGCTCTTTAATCATACTCAATGAATCTCATTGATCAGTTACAACATAAGCTACAATAACAACAACTGTTAAGAAAGGCAGCAACAACATAACCCATTCCTGCAGTTTCTGCAATAAATAACAGAGGAAGCTCCTATTACAGGTTCCCAAACATGTAAGTCACCAGTCTCTTTGCCAAAGCAGCACCAACAATGTTTGAGTACAAGCTTCATCTTCACTATGGCGTCCCATCCCCACCCCTGGACCAATGAAACCAGAGATCCTCAAACATTCTAATATACCACAGAGCACGCTAACCAATAAACCAATCTGGTCGCCCTTGGAAGAGAGCCCATGCTCCATCCCTGCCAAAAGAGATGTAATTATTCTGGGCAACAACTCTCTGGCATTCTCGAGTACCTGAAGGAAAATAACGAGAAAATTACAAACACAGATTGGTAGAGCAGAATATACATGGAAGTGCAATCCATGGTCAAATAACAGTCAGATTAAAAAGTACTCAGAGAAAGCTTTAAAGAGTAGCAGCCTTGGCAGCATGAAATAACAACAACTGGGATTGAAAAGAATGAACTAGGATCCCTTTGGCAAGAATGAATGAAGGAACAAAAACCAAAATTTACAGAAAAGAGCCTGAAATGGAAATGCAATTATCTAGACATAGGAATATGAAGGAGAAGAAGGAAGGGATTGAAAAGAAAGATTTCCGTCTCTGGTTTTATAATAGGGCCAGCTAGGGTGTGGATAGGAAAGAATAGGAGGAAGGGGTCGGTGGATTTTTTTGGGGAAGAGGATGAGTCCATTTATTGGACTTAAATAGGGTTACGTTAAATATGAGTCAGCAGTATGTAGCTGACATGGCGGCTAAGTTGGTGTGGTAATTTACGTTTTAACACCCGCCGTTAGTCATGGAGACGGAAATGGTAACAGTGCTACCGGAATTGGATATAAGTGGTTTAGTTGCAACAAAACATACTTAAGTGGTTATCGTGCAACAAATGGTGAACTTAAGTGGCACCCTGTGCAATTAACCCTAACAATCCACATAATTATAGTTAACCCTTAACGTAAATACATGTAATAAATACAATTATCTTTAGTTTGACTCTTGAGTGGTTATGCAAAGTATTAAGTATGTGTATATAATATATATTAGATATATGATAAATTACTTAACTGGTTAATTTGGTTTGATTGGTTAGGAGTGCCTGAAATCAAACCAGACCACTTAAACCAAACAAGCTAAATTTTTTAACCAAACCAAACCAGTTATCGAAATTAAACAAACCAAATTAGCCAAATACTACTGGTTAAAATGGTTACCATGGTAACCAAACCGTTTGAACACCCTACTTGTGAAGCTGTTGGAATCGATTTTATAATAGCTAGATACCACAAACGCTGGCAAGTAAACAAGATATGCTCTTTACAAATAGTGTTGGTCTGACCTATAGAAAAAGGGAATGGGCGGCAGTGGGAAGCTCTAGGTAAAACGGCAACTCCTATAGTTTTCATATTCCTCTCTTGATTCTCTCGCTTGTTTACCTTGGTGGTGTACTGGTGTTGTATGCAACATCTTAAACAAAAACAGCCGCTCCGAGAGCATCATTGTCAGATCACTGGTCCGTCGATCAGTATAATCGGATTCAATTTGTATTGGGCAAAAACTAGTTGGGAGATTAAAATCGATGAGAAATATTGCTGAAATATGATAATTTGTCATTTTATTCGTAATGTAGTATATTATTTAAATATGAACGGAGATTATTGGTATATTGTTTTAAGATAGATTACATAAATGTACAATTTATTTGGTATTTTTTTGCAATTTCTTGTATGTTTTGTTAAAACCAGGATAAACCAACATGTAAACCGGTAATATCCCAATTGAATTATACCTTGCTACACCCAACATAAAGATATAAACTGGTTAGACAAACTTGAGCTACAGACTCAATAGTACGAATCCTATTATGACAATACAAAGTAGGAGTTAGTTTCCTAATAGAACAATACATTAATGTTTTTGTTATTGTTATCGACAATAAAAAATATTAAGCTCAAGTAGGGAGAACGAGAGGCCCCAACGTCAGCTTGAAATCCGGAACATACGCCTTCACTTTCCACCTAAGAAACTTCTTAGCCACCAAAGTCGTCAAAAACAAAGCCTGCCAGAAAAACAGCCTTTGTAGCAAATTCAAGGTATTGGATGAAAGATTGGATGTCTGTAAGGCTTTAAACAAAAGGGTCGAAGTTGCTCCGAAGGCAGACTTCGAGCACAAGCAAACTGCCAGAAAAACAACCTTTATAGCAACTTAGAGCCTTTTGTTTGAAGCCTTAAAGATATCAAATATTTCATCCAATGCCTTGACTTTGTAGACAAACATACCTAATTTAACGTGGTAGAGGCTCC